TCCTTTGATAAAGTACTCAAAGTAATCCCTGAAACAGCTAGACTACTTAGGTGATGGGCTAGAACTCTTCAAACTGTGCCTGTCTATAAAATACTTTCAGACTACAAAGAGCAAATCATTTTTAATGATGAGATCTATAGCTTGAAGAAAATGGGGAGCAGAATTAATAACCATGAATCAAAATAATTTCATTTTAACTAGTAGTGAACTTAGAACACGCATTTCACTGATTTACATAGTAGTGAAGATAAAATAGAATCATCTGGGTCTGATGCATGGACAAAGAATTTCCAATCTTATACATGAAGTAAGGCATTTCAACTTTCAGAAAACTTACTTATTCAGAATATTTTATGACACAGGGCCAGAAACTTGCAAAATGTAGGTACAGGTAATAATATATAAATATTATAGAATATTATATATTTAGAAACTTGCAAAATGTAGGTACAGGTAATAATATATAAATGTAAGTGAAAGAATTATTTTAATAGCAGACAATTTATTGCTTCATAATTAAACATTAATTTCTGAATTTTATATTTTAAATAAATGTGTAGTGTGTCTTTCCCAAGAACTGGCAACTTGGAAACGCATTTTCTCTCCTTATGCATGCATTCCCCAGGGCTGCAGCTCTTCTAGCTCTAAGGCGTTTTAAACGGCCAGCTGCCTCTTTGTGTGGATTGGCTGTTTAAAGCCGTGGCTCTGAAGTCCAGCCTCAGTTTTGACATTCTGTAGACCCTCAGCAAAGACGTTCCATTCAGATGAAAGTGGGTCTCCACCAAATCAAACAGCTGCCCGGGCTGGTAAGAGGACAGAAAGCCTACTAAGAATGCAGGGCTGGAAGGAGGCCGAAAGGAAGGTGTAAAGAAAAAGAGGGAGGAGGAGGAAGAAGGGGAGGAGACTGAAAAGCCTTTCTCAAAATGGTTGCATTTTTTAAAGTCAATAGGCAATTTTATTTAAATTTAAACTGATTGTTACACTATTCAGAGGACCATCTCGTAAGAAAATCCTTTGTTTTCTGCCTTTCCTTATTTCTATTATTCTGCGACAACATAAATAAAAAGTGAAGATCTACCAGATAAAATGCCATCTCACTTCTGTTTTAATACTTTTATGTTTCCAGCTTAAGGTTAGGTGATTTTTGTGTCAATTCTGAGCATATAAAAATAATGAACTGTATTTTACATACAATACCAGTTTGTTTACCAGATGAACAAGTTAACAAGTTAGAGTTCAAGTTACAGTGGGTGAACTGATCCTGTAATTGCTCCTCAGGTGACCCGAGGCCACCTGGGTCAAAGTGTCCTTGGCTGCGGAGAACCAGCCTGGTTCACTATCTCAAGGAACACAAAAGTGGAAGGGCTGAACATGGGTGTCTTTTCCGTACTGCTCATTCTGCTCGCTTGTTCTTTTCCGAGCTTCGAACCGAGTCAGGAGGGACCTGCACCACTTCCTCATACCAATCTTGCACGAGATAGTGTCAGTTAGCCCCCTTCCTCCAGCTGTAAAAACCGGCTAACGCCAACACCAGGATTTCTTCCCAGGGTGCCCACAGCCTCCTGGAGGGAGGGTCCCGGGGGACCTGTCGTGAGCACCCAAGGCCTCAGCCATTGTCCTGTCGTGTGATCTGCAGGAGCCGTGCTGGAGCCAGGGAGAGACTGCAAGACACCTCGTCAGTTCAAAGCATTTTAGGGTTGTTTGAAATCTGCTCCAAGTCACCGCAGCCAGACTCTATATTTGAACAGCTGCTATTAACAGTGAAAAGAAATGAGCTAAATCAAAACCTGGAGGAATCTACCCGAGACACCTTCAACGTGCTTTTCTGCGGGCAGAGAAAGGCAGACTAGCGGGCGGACTCTGCCCTCGCAGGGCCGGCCCGAAGAATGGCGCCGGCGACGGCGAAAGAGGCCCGGAATAGCTGCTAAAAACCTTGGAGAGCCCAGGATCCGGAGCCCTCGCGAGGCGCCTGAGAAACAGACCGGGGAGCCGCGGCGACCCAGGTCCCGGCGTTCGCGCCAACCGGGCCCCGCCGACCGGCGCAGACGCGGAGCCGGCTGCGGGCGGGGCGCGGAGGCGGTGCTCCGAGTGGCGGCGATCACCCGGCCTGCCCGCCCCAAGACTGGCCCTGCCACGGGGGTGGGGTGCCCAGGCTGAGGCCCGGGCAGGGCACTGCTTTGTATGCTGCCGGGCATTTATTTGGCATATGCATGCTCACCCAGTTGGGAACGGATGGACTCTCGCCCGCCAGAAAATGAGGCGGGGCTGAGGGTGGAGAGGAGACCTGGGACGTCAAAGTGGGAAGGATCTCCGAGTTTCAGTCACCAGTGCAGTCCCACCGCGCACAGGAAGTTTCGGGGTCTGCGTGTACTTCTGCCTACACCTCCCGCCACCACTCCCCGCGCCCTCTGCCTGGAGGAGACTTGGGGGAGGGGAGGGTGGGAGGCCCGGAGGAGACGGGAGCAGGACTTCTAAATTGACTCAAAGCCCGGCGTCCTGAGTTCCCACAGAACTGTGTCTCAAAACTTTATTCTTGCTCAAGCGTATCAGCACACGATCTGAAAAAGTCTTCTCAGAATCTAAAGGAAAACGGACCCCTGCCCCGAAAGCCGCACGCACTTGGGGGAAGTTGCTTAGTACGGTGCAGCCCTGTCCACCGCTAGGTTCTTCCTTCCGAAGGAGCTCTGAGCTCCCAAGAGGAGGGAAAAAGAAAAGCACCGCTGGCTGAAGGGACGCAGCTAGCGAGCGGCCTGAGCCCTCCAAAGACAGGATACGCGAAGCCGGGAGGACTTTGCTGGGCGTTTCCAATCTCCCTTGCTCGCGACCCTGCTGCGCGGACACCAGCCGCTGCGTCTGCGCGCTCCGAGGCTCGAACTTTTTTAATTTTTTTCCTGGCCAAGCAAAGTTAACTGAATCCGCAGCAGCTTCCAGGCGCGCGGCCAGAGCCGTTGGGGGTTCGCACAGGGAGGCAGAGCCACGAGGAGTGTGTCCTAGCCTAGCCGCGCGGGTGCGCGCGTGGGGGTTGCAGGTTGGTCCAGCTGGCTGCTAGTGGGCTCGCCCCTCCTCTCACTATTTCTCTCCCTCCCACACACACGCTCATAAACACAGGACACGTGGAAATTTTCAGCCAAAGCGCCGTGCCGGGGCAGGTGCTCAGACTGGTGATTTATAAACAGCTCAGCCACTCCCTAAAGAGCATGGCTTCTCGTTAGTCATGATGAATTTTCTGGCCCGATCCATCCTGCTATCTAGATTAAAATGTTTGGAGGCCCCAAAATGCTCCCTCTGAGCACTGATTTGGCTGCTGTTGCAAGCCTACGGTCGCAGAAAACCAACGCCACTTAACTTGGGCCGGCGTAAGAGATGGGAGACCGATTCACGTCCCCGGGGGCTTTCTCTCCCTGGCTCTCACTTTAGATTTGCTTTAGGTTATTTCCCCGCAGCACTCGCGACCCTGTTCTACGGTCCCGCTGTTACCAGCCGCAGTCCGCGCCTGGCGCCCTGCTGCTCCCGGTCAGCAGCAGCCACCTGCTCGGGCTGCAGGGGACTGCTGGACGCCTTGGCGCTCGGGATGGAGGACGAGCGAAGCCGCGGGGGACCGTCCCGCGCGCGCCGCGGGCTCGCTCTGGAACCGAAGCTGAGCCGGAAGCTGGGCTAGCCAGCAGCTTCTTGAAACCAACCCACCCGCTGGTGTTCGCAGAAGTTCCTGATGAGGATAGTCTCCCGAGCGTCAGTGCCTTCACTTTCCACACACGCTTCCTGGCTTTGGAAGCTGCGAACAGAAAAGTTGCACCGCCCTGAGCTGGAGCGCGGGGGAGGCGGGCACAGCCTAGCCAGTGCTGCTCCTCCGAGAGGCCTCCTCTGTCTCTCTCGGTCCCGTCGCCCCCCTGCCAGCCCTCCTGCAGCCTCCGCAAAGCGAAGCTTGCTTGGTACCAGCTCCTACTTTTCTAAACCCAAAGCTGCGCGCGCGCCCGAGTGTGCATGTGTCAGACTTCTGGAGTTTTGTTTTCAGTTCAGAGCGCAGCGCTGTGCGAGCACGCAACTCAGAACCTTGACAACAGTCGCTCAGAGTGCTCAGCCTCGCATTTAGTCATTTCTGTCAGGGACTGGAAAGCAAACGGGCGTTGGACGAAAAGCCAGGGCCTGTGCTTGGGAGAGGGGATGTGGTGGGGAAGGAAGAAGCGAAAGACACTTGTGCCCTGAAATGTTAGCCACCCGGGAAGGGAGGCTTCCACCCGGGGAGAGCAAGCTTGGCTCCCCGCTGCTTCAGAACCAAGCGACCCTGTTGTGTGTGTATCCCTGGGAGAATAAAAATTCTGCTGGCTCTTTGCGACCGTGTTTCTCTCCTTCTATCCCTTCTCCGCCCCTTAAAGCCCTATTGGGAAGAGAAACAGGACCCCCCACCAACACACACACACACACACACACACACACACACACACACGAGAGCGTGCGCGCGCGCGCACACGCACACACACACACACACACACACACACACACACACACCCCAAGTCTTCCAAGTGGCAACGGTCGATAAGAGCTCCTGGACCGCCCCCCTGCCGGGCGGCTCCGCCTGGGAGACAGATGGGGGGCGGGGCCCCTAGGAGCGTAGGAGGAGGAGGAGGCCGGGGGTGGGGACGAAGAGGGGGGTGAGAACCGGGAGAATGTGAATCGCGACTCCAGGAGGACCCGGAGGAGGGCTGGAAGGACTCCGCGCCCCGGGGAGGAGGAGGGGGCAGCTCTGCGCCAATCAGGGGCGCCGGCCTGGGAGGTTGCTAGCGGTATCCACGTAAATCAAAGGGCGCGGAGCCAATGGGAGGGGGCGGAGGGGGCGGGGCCCAGGCGCGTGCCGCCGGGAGCCGGCGCTGCCAAGAGAGCGGGAGAGAGCTGGTGAGAGCAGGAGAGGGGGGAGCGCCGAGCGAGTCGGAGAGTGAGAGTGAGCGCGAGCAAGAGGAGGGAGAGGAGGAGAAAGAGCGAGGGCGGGCGGGCGGGAGGCGGCGGCGGCAGCGGCAGTAATAGCAGGAGCAGCCACAGAAGGCGTCGGAGCGGGCGTCGGAGCTGCCCACTAGGGGGGAGACAGAGAGAAAGAGAGAGAGGGAGAGAGAGAGAGAGAGGAGCGAAAAAGAGGGCAAGCGAGGAGAGGGAGCCCGAGGCGGAAAAGTAACTGTCAAATGCGCGGCTCCTTTAACCGGAGCGCTCAGTCCGGCTCGGAGAGTCATGGCGACCGCAGCGTCTAACCACTACAGCCTGCTCACCTCCAGCGCCTCCATCGTGCACGCCGAGCCGCCAGGCGGCATGCAGCAGGGTGCGGGGGGCTACCGCGAGGCGCAGAGCCTGGTGCAGGGAGACTACGGCGCGCTGCAGAGCAACGGGCACCCGCTCAGCCACGCTCACCAGTGGATCACCGCGCTGTCCCACGGCGGCGGCGGCGGGGGCGGCGGCGGGGGGGGCGGGGGCGGCGGCGGGGGCGGCGGCGACGGCTCCCCGTGGTCCACCAGCCCCCTGGGCCAGCCGGACATCAAGCCCTCGGTGGTGGTGCAGCAGGGCGGCCGCGGCGACGAGCTGCACGGGCCGGGCGCGTTGCAGCCGCAGCACCAGCAGCAGCAGCAACAGCAGCAGCAGCAGCAGCAGCAGCAGCAACAGCAGCAGCAGCAACAGCAGCAGCCGCGGCCGCCGCATCTGGTGCACCACGCCGCCAACCACCACCCCGGGCCCGGGGCATGGCGGAGCGCGGCCGCCGCGGCGCACCTCCCGCCCTCCATGGGAGCGTCCAACGGCGGCTTGCTCTACTCGCAGCCCAGCTTCACCGTGAACGGCATGCTGGGCGCCGGCGGGCAGCCGGCCGGGCTGCACCACCACGGCCTGCGGGACGCGCACGACGAGCCGCACCACGCAGACCACCACCCGCACCCTCACTCGCACCCGCACCAGCAGCCGCCGCCGCCGCCACCCCCGCAGGGCGCCCCGGGCCACCCGGGCGCGCACCACGACCCGCACTCGGACGAGGACACGCCGACCTCTGATGACCTGGAGCAGTTCGCCAAGCAGTTCAAGCAGAGGCGGATCAAACTGGGATTTACCCAAGCAGACGTGGGGCTGGCGCTGGGCACCCTGTACGGCAACGTGTTCTCGCAGACCACCATCTGCAGGTTTGAGGCCCTGCAGCTGAGCTTCAAGAACATGTGCAAGCTGAAGCCTTTGTTGAACAAGTGGTTGGAGGAGGCGGACTCGTCCTCGGGCAGCCCCACCAGCATAGACAAGATCGCAGCGCAGGGGCGCAAGCGGAAAAAGCGGACCTCCATCGAGGTGAGCGTCAAGGGGGCTCTGGAGAGTCATTTCCTCAAATGCCCCAAGCCCTCGGCCCAGGAGATCACCTCCCTCGCGGACAGCTTACAGCTGGAGAAGGAGGTGGTGAGAGTTTGGTTTTGTAACAGGAGACAGAAAGAGAAAAGAATGACCCCTCCCGGAGGGACTCTGCCGGGCGCCGAGGATGTGTACGGGGGGAGTAGGGACACGCCACCACACCACGGGGTGCAGACGCCCGTCCAGTGAACTCGAGCGGGGGAGGGGCGGAGCGCAGGGCTCTCCCTCCCCGCTGGCTCCCAGTCCTTGGCTGGACCCCTGTTCCCTCTCTAACTTCTGATTGTTCTTTTATTTTTAATTATTTCCCCGTCCCGTAAGAAGAAAAAAATAAGGAAAAAGGAAAGCATCTAAGACACTGGACTATCCTTTAAACGGTAGCAGATGTAATGATGTGTTTTGACCTTTACAGGCAAGTACCCAGGCTATGAAGTAGTGTCTCCTAGAGAAAGTGAGTGGAGAGAGGGAGAGAGGGAGGAAGAGAGAAAATCTGAGGCAAATACCTGCAAATCTAAATAAATTACCCAAAAATTCCACCAAACCATGATAAACACAAAATCGCAGCTTCGATGCTCGAAGTTGGCACATGCTGCTGTGTTTATTTAACGTGGATCCCCATCAGGAAAGAGGAAAAAAATACACATATCTTTGATATAAGGAAAATTTAACACAAATTTACACTGCAAGAAAATTGAAGTTTACATGAACAAACTCATAAACGTGTTTTTCTCTTATTCCCCGCCATTAATTTTGGAATTGACGATTTTGGTGTCATTTTGTTTTGCTTTACTCAGCGGGGAGAATCGCAGCCAGCTTTTGCCCCTCTCCATTTCTGATGTTTTTGTGTTTCCCCTCGTTCTTACTATTTGTGAACTTTGCTTACCTTTAGATCTTCCTTGAATTAGTGTAACATTTACTTGCTTCTTTAACCAAAGCTAAATGATTGGCTTCACACAAAATTAACTGTCTGTGTTCAGGAAATGTGTATATTCTGTTTTATCCAAAGCAAGAATCTAGTTTGGAATATAAAAAATAAGAATCAAGCATAGGCTTTTGTTACTACCCACAAAGTAAACTTCATTTTCAGGCAGTGTGTCTGGGAGAGGTTATGGAGAGGAGAAAAAGAAAAATCGATAATGAGTGACTGATTGCTTCATTTTATCAGGCGGGCCCATTGTAAAAGAGCTCAGAGGAAATGTGGAGGTTAAATATATTTCCAGAGTTGTCCAACAAAAGGAAAGTGGCACTTTGAAGAGACTAGGGAAATATGTATCTTCAGAGAAATCTGAATAGTTCTCTCCCTTTGGTTTTAATAACTTAGGTATGAGGAATTATATGTGCTGACAGCAGCAATTAAACTTTATTCATCTAATAGCTTTTTAAAAAATCAAAAAGAAAATAACCCAGGAATTTAATATTGTGTGCATAAACTGTGTTGCTTAGCACACAAACGCCACATGCATCCATGTGCAGTAGACTGGTTTTTTCTTCACTAGCTCATTGGTTTATCACCTCATATTTAGGGTCCCACAACTCTCTTCTCCTGTAATGAATTACAGAAAATACCAATTTGGCTTGGACAGCTTTTATCCCCCTGTCTTTCACTTAAAAAGCCAAATGAAGTGGGGGAGGAAATGCTATTTTCAATTCTTCCTTTCTCTCCTTTGTTAATAGTTTTAAGTGCATTTTTTACCTTGTCTTGATGGAAAACTGTTAACTCCCAACACAAAAGACTCTACTGGGAAGTGTAGGTGAAAGAAAAAAAAAAAAACTTGTAACTATATTGAAAGTAAATACCATTAAACTGTGATTAGTTAAAATTAAAATAATAATCAGCACAAAAGGACACTAAAAGGGAAGACACTTTTTTATTAACTTTAAAGTTTGGGGCTTTTTTCTGGTTAGATATTAAATAAATGTTTATTTTAAAGAATTCTCACTACCATAAAATTATGGTTCAGCATCAGACTAGCATTGCACTCAGTAGTTAAGGTTTTAGGAAATATGCTTTATACAAGATTGTCTTTTCAAACACCTGTGATTGTTTCATTTTCAATGTTTTTGCAAGATAAATGGTGACTTATAATGGGCATATTTATTTGCCTGTTCTTCATTTCCCCCAGTGAATGTCACAAGGAGATGGACACTGAGCTGTTCGGGTGTTTCACGCTGCCAGTTCCTGAGGTGAGGGGACTGGCTTTCCGTGAAGCAATCTGGAGCAGGGCAAATAGCCAATGGTAGAGGGAGGAAATGGATTTTCAGATACTTATTACCAAGTAGGTAAGGTCAGAAGCTAGAGTTCAGGGGATGTGTCTACAGCTCCTCTCTAACTCTCGTAGGTTTACTAAGATGAAAGTTACCACTGAACCTTACTGCTATGTATATATGTTTAATATCTGTCTTTTGAAATGCAGAAATAGTTTAAATGTTTGTCTATTTTTTTCTTTTTTTTAATGCTACCCAGGGAAATATTTTCATATCATTTTAAGTGGCCTGCCTCAATGTATATTTATTTCTTTTGAAGCAAAAGCTTCTTGAAACTGTTTTTTCTGTAGCTTTAAATGAGTAGGTGAGCAAAATCTATATGGGATGTAATTTTTTTGTTCAGTCTCTTTAAAAATACTTTGTTTTGGTACATTTGGTTGTGCTTGTGGGGAAAATAAAAACGCAGAGATCCTTATATATTTATGTTAAAGTAATATTTTATTATTACATAAAACAGAAATGCACAATACCTTCATAGTTTGTTCTAATTATTGAAATATCTTTATTTTATTTTTAAAGATAGTGCCAAGTTTTAAGGGGAAAAATAACCCTAGACCTTATACTGACTGAGTTGAGTTGTGTGTAAAACATTTCCCTTCCTTTATATTTCATAAAGTTTTGGAATAAATTTTATGCATATCCTGCCAGGTTTCATGTTTATAACTTTCACAGGCATCCTTTTAAATGGAAGCTGCTGTTCTGATTTACTTTTCACTGCAAAAGTAAGCATCAATTCCAAATCTTTCAGTCCCTATGCCTGTAGCATTAAATCAGGATGATCATTGGATTTGAGCTTCAAATAGTTTGCTATTTCGTGGTCCACAAAAGCAAAAACAAACCAACAAACTTTGCCCTGTGAATGCATGCAGATGTCTCCGCATCTTCTCTTCGGATTATCTGCATCTTACCTAGTTGGGCCGTTACGGAGCGGAGTGCATCAACATAACTAGGTAGATTCTAATCTCTCCTCCCATGTCCTCACATAATTTGAGGTCTGCAGAAAAGCAGGGCTTGGTTAGAGGATTATTCTTCTTAATAATCAACAAATATTTTCAACAAACAATAACCCAGACAATATGCTGTGAGTTTGCCAAATCATTAGAAGTAGATCCTGTATGCTGTTCATGTGAGGTTTACAGGAATTGATAAAGATTTTGCAGTGGTTTATAGCATAGTGTCTATTTCTCATCAGCAAACAAATAGATTCTAAAATAAAAAAGAAGAATTTATGGGACTAAATCAAGTCATAATGCTAATAACAGATTGTTTCCAAACATTATTATATGAAACGCTACACTTACCAAAATCAGTTTTAAATGAGTGAGAATTCTAAATTGCTGGGTTACTTTATAAGTTTGTTGATGTGTTTAACGTCCACTTTGGAACATTGATTTAAGTATGTGCCCATTTAGAAAGATAATTTCTGAGATTATTACACTGAGTCATCTTTCCTAACACCTAGTCAATATCACAAGGGTCCCTAACAGATTCAACCAAACGATCTTATCAATAGCCAGGACAAGAAGTAACAAAAAGAAGTGTTTTGTAACCAAAGACATGCTTATGGGTAAAATGTTTAAGCTGGGTATAGATTTGAGTACTGGGTCAATGTCCTTTTACTCTAGACAGGAAACAAGCTGCATCTGCCCTCTGCAGGGCATTTTAGTGGACCCTGAGAAGGCATTTTTGTTCTTAGCCACAGGGGCTACTGACTAGAAAACATCCCACGTTAAAGGGATTCATTTTGGCCTTGACCTGTGCTTGCCATTCAAATGCTAAAGCTACTCAGGGAGTTTCCACACCAGTTTGGAAAGGTATTACACCCTACCACGAAAAACTGCACGGTGACCACTGGGAGAAAGCTATGGGCAGTCATCCTCAAGGTGTTGGCTTAGTCACAAGGAAAAACACTTTCTCTCCCTTAAATACAGTAATGTAGAATACAACCACCCTGATAGAACCCTTATGTTTCTTCAAAATATTTCATTTTTAGATTTATGATATAAGATGGGGGAGAAGGGATCATGTGGGGAAGAATTATGTGAAGGTCAGAGGAAAGGAAGGGTCACAAGTAATATTCTGTTTGGCATTTCTGAACATTCTTGCTTCCCACGAAGTAACCTCTGTATTTCAGGTGTCGTTAACAAAAGCACCCTTCTCGTCCTGCTCCTATAATTCCCTGATTGACAAAATTTTCTGGTGAAATGGCTTTTATTCATCTTTCTATCTTCCTCTTTCATTAAAAGTAACGAATAAAGCAATGTACCAGCAACAATGAGGGTGAGGACAGCGTTGGGTGCCTGGATCCCTGCACGTGTCTGCCTCTGTGCTGCATCATCTGCCTTGCATTTTCCTTATCATGGAAGCATCTTGGATAGTGCTGGGGACAGGGGCTGAGAGGATCTTTGTATCACTCCTGTCTGTGATTTGTATTTTTAAATCAGTTTTTAGAACTGTTCTAGATTCTGTGCAATTGCTACACAAGTAACAGAATGAGGTAAAGCACAGAGCTTGTACGGATGAAGCAGGATGGTGAAGTGAGGGTTCCTTTGGTTCTGTGTGGATATTTCAGAAGGTAAAGCAAATGGGTGCTATTTAAAAGGAAAGGGAAAGGTGCATCTTGAACTACTGTGAGTCTTAACAAGATGACTAAATGGGATGTACAGCTACACGTTATATATTTTCAGTATTTAGAGGGGAGCTCTTTTTCAATGATATATAGTCTCTTATGGTAGAAGAGAACCAGGTTCCTGATACCTGTTCTCACTATTTGATTCAGGGTAGAAACAATGAAAAAGTGGCATGGGCTCACCACCCAGTTAGCAAACCATGGAATCAACCAGCCCATGTTCATAGAATGTGGGCCACACTTTCACTTCAGCATGTATAGCAATGCCAGCAAATGGCTTTTTAATTTTCTTTAAGGCTTTGCTTTGTTATGGAGATAAAGAAACAATCAAAATATTTTCAAATTTTTTTGCTGTTTGTCGAGAAGCTAGGGAATAGGTTCCCTCTTCTAAAAAAAAGTTAATTAACTATCATGTGGTACCTCACTTTACCTTAATACGCCTTTGCTTGGCTTAGCTGTTAGAGGTTTTAGAAACAGTATTATATTCCATCAAAACAATCCTAGTCTCTCTTATTGTTCCTCAGATTCTGATTGTTGGTAACATTAAGATGTATTTCTCTTTAAAAAAAAAAGTCTGAAATGTTATATGATACACCAGTAAAAGTACATCTATATCTTAAAGTTTATTTCTTACACACTTTTTTGAGTTATTACAATTCTTTGTCTATGTGTAAGGGGGAGGACTTCTGCATGTGGCTGGTGGCTTTTGGAAGGGGCTGTAGTCGGTGGCAAACAGCTCTCTAATTTCACAAGGGAGAGTTGTCTAGAAAAAGAGAAGAAAACAAGTGTGCCCACAAAGCAGTAGTTGTCACCAGTTTCAGAAAAACCGGAGTGTTAGAGCCCCCATCTGAGGCTTAAGGAGTGGATTTGATTGTTATGGATTAACTCTCAATGTGCTAATCGGAAAGCTTTCTGTGGAGTAAAGTTGAACCACCACCCCCCTTTAAATTTGGATCATATATTTTCCTCCCATCAATGTGTCCTTTGGGTTTGTTACTTTAAAATGACAACAAGAAGAAACAAGGCCACACATGAAAAATACGGCCACTAAGTTCCGCGGCAGGATAAGAAAAAGAAAGTTTCTTGTGGGTTTGTAGCACACACAGGCTATTGAAATCGCAAGGCTTTGAGGTTCAGGCAAATATCCGTGTGGAAAGTTGGAGCTCTTTGCCCTCCTCCTCTTAAGAAATCTTCCTGTCAGAGGAATTTTTATGTGACCTTTTATGATTCTGGAGAGAATTATTTGACATTAATAACTTTTGGTTGATGTTGTTTCTCAAACAAATACACCTTCGAAGTTGGTGCAGCCATTGGGCAAGGCGGATGGAATGCTGCCAGCAGGCACCAGCACAGCTCGAGTTGTGCCAGGCCCTGGCTGTGCCCCCCACCCAAGCAGCAGACCCAAAGGCCTGGAAAGTTCGGCCGGCCCAGGCAGGGAAGGGAGAAGAGGGACGAGCTGGGCAGGCCCAGTACCTCCCTCCGGCCTGTGCTCCAAGATGCTGCCAACTGGCCCTGAATGCCTGTCTGGGTATGGGGCACTTTCAGCCACGCTCCAGGCTCTGACGCCCCGACCCCAGGAGAAGGGTCGACAGCTGGGACGTCCGTGGCAATTGCAGAAGTCTCCTTTGCCAGAGAGGCCCTGAGTGTGGGGCAGGCCTGTGGACAGAGCTTACGAGCTGGGGCCGAAGGCTGAGCACGGACGCCTGCCTCGGGTATAACTCTTGCTCTGGGAAGGAGATGTCGGGGCCTCTCTGGGGGAGTAGAGGCTGGGACAAGGATGCAGTGAGGGCCAGGGGGATGGGGAGAGGCCAAGGCTCCGAAGAGAGTGAGCCCTCCTAGCTTTCCACCTGCTGTGCAGTTCCCAGTGGCTCTGCAAGTTGGGCCCAGGACCTTGCTGTGGCGTGGGAGAGGCAGCTGTAGGAGACCTGCCCCAGAAGGAAAGAGGAGAGGAGAGAACAGCAAGACCGCAGGAAGAATCCCTCAGAGCTGCTGGGGAAGGAGACAGAGTTGGGCCTTTTGTGGTCTGAGGTCCAGGATGGAAGGGGCAGCCAAAAGCTGGGAGCAAAGTTCTAAAGGGGACGCTCTCTGGCTCCCACCCATCAAACTTCGGGCTGCCTCCGACCTGGCTCCCTTAGAGAAGGGCCTTCCCTCACAGCCTTGAAGCACACTGGAAAATGATTATCTAGCCCCCAAGAAGCGGCCACTCCCTGCTGGTCCTAGTGGCTTCTCCAAAGACAGGAGCTCAGAAGCCACTCTGGATACCCTGAGATCCTGGGCCAGAGCTGGGAACAGCGAGCAGCCAGGGGCTGAACCTTAGTACTGCAGGCTTGGCTTCCACCTCCACGGGTCGGGCTCCCGCAAGCCGGTGCGCTCCCCCACCTTAACCCCCTCCCCCATCCCGCCCCGAGTTTCCTAGGAGAAATCTCCCTTTTGGAGGAAATTCAGCTCTTAGCCTCGCAGAAGGGCGTTGGGAGTTCCACAGCGGCCTTTCGCCTCCGGAGCAGGTGAAGCCCGTGCTGGACTGGTGCTCCTGAAGCCTGGATGCCTGGCGGGGCTGCGGAGCAGGTGAGACCTAGGCAGGAGGGTGGGGAGGTTGCAGAGGGCAGAGCCCGGCTCCCGCGGGGTGCAGGTCTGAGGTGCAGGTCTGAGCTGGCGAGAGGCCCGGCTTCCGCCGGCTCCCCAGCCTCCGGCTCACTCCCACTCACCGGGGCCCTGCGGCCAGCACGGGCGGGGTCGCACACAAACAAGGATGCTTCTATTTACTCGCCTCTGTCTGTGGATTTCTAAGACATTCAGCAGGCACAATCATTAAACTAATTTGTATTTGATTGTTTGGGCGGACGGAGGGTAGTTTTATTGCGCTAAGCATTCAAGCAGGCACGCATCGCTGATTACCAGTATACATTAAATAAAGTTGTTTGTACACATTGTCTTACCACATATAGGCAGAGGCTTATTATTCTAATTACTCTAATTAGTGCATTGAAATGTTTTCTACTTGATTTGAGAAGACAGTGA